CAGAAAAAAAATGGTGATTTCTTGAGTAGATAAAGGCAACGTGTTTTGTTTTCCCTCTAAATCAGTGAAGCGACGCTATTCTGGTTACAGACTACTAATTTTACCCCTATTTCAAGTATATAAATAGTTCCAATTAAAAATAGGTTTTTCTTTAAAAATTCTTTGGGCTGTTTATGGAGAGTTATTTTGGGGCATAAATGGAAAGGAGAGGGTCTGATAAAAATTATATAATTGATAATAATGGGAAATTTTGCTTTTAAGCGCGTAGTAGGCAGGGTGTAAAGAGGCCCATATTTACCCTTTCTTCGAAGAGAAAGTGAAATAAGCGATATTCTTGTCAGAACAAGCAAATTGAGTACCTCAAATTACAGTGTTAGGTCCACTGCTATTCATTGTGTATATCAATGACTACCTGCTCAGGTGAAGTCGAAAGCTCGTCTGTTTGCAGATAATTGCCTCTTGTATAGGAAGATGAGCAGACCAAAAGACACCGCAGTGCTACAACAGGAGCTAAATAGCCTCCAAGAATGGGAAAGAAATTAGCTGATGGAATTAAATCCTGACAAATGTGAGGTCATCCGTATCGCAGGGGAAAGAAAAATCATCCAGGGTAACTACATCATATACAAGCAGGTTCTGAAGGATGAGTGCACCTAAGCTATCAGGGTTGGGTCCTGGTGTTTTGCGCAAAACAATATCCCGAATTTCATTACATTTATGTTTTATAGGTATTAAAAATGTCTTAATAGCAGGTTTTTGTATATTATATTACATGAAAGTACTAAATAATGCCGAGCGACACTAGCTTTTGAGACGGGGGTCTAACAGTTTTGTCACATTTCTATTGTTATACATTATGCATACCAGTTTTCAACATTGTTTACATCGAGCCTCAACTTGGCCATTGGTCTCATTTGCACAGTAAACTTAAACATATTCAAAGGACAATGTTGTCTAAGTTGCGGCTCATATCTACTTTTTTGAAAAAAGTCTTCAAACTACCGTCAAGTAAGCCACTAATTAATAAATTAACAGGTCCCCGAGTGTCAACGATTGATATTATAATCATTTTACTCACGTGACATTCCACGGTTCGATACGCCAACGCTTTCATTGAACATTTCATTGCATGTGTCATTTGAAGTTTCTATTCGTGCAGTATCTATCGTACTTCCAACTTCAAACTATGGAAGATCTTTGCGCAAAGTTTAATAAGGTTCGAAGATTACCCGGTATATGTCTTTTATTTTACTTTGTATTTTTCGTTAGGAAAGTTTTGAAAGAATTCTGGTATTGGTAGTGAGATTAGTAAATATAGGCTCATGTCGCCTCTGTATTATGGTCTGCAGGGCGATGCATCTACCCCATCCCGAAACACTAGAATCATTTATTATTTGTGCACCTTGAAACTACACAATCGCTCTCTTCTCCAATTAAATTCGTAGTGTAGCATCTGCATGATTTCGAAAAAAAAGAGTCATATGTGCTATTGTTTACATTCCACATTTAAATGTCTCCGCCTATTTGCGGGTACCTTAAATTCGATGGTGGTCCCGTTCAAATTTCCGGAATTTAAGGCTTATACATGTTCCTTTTAATGGCATTGTCTGTAATTATAGAAATATGTATTACAAAAAAATTCAAGGCATAAATATCAGAAGCATATGCTTGCACACATAGATTAATTTAGCGATATATTGTAATGTAAAGATGAAAATAGGTAGCCGAAAAGGTTCCAAATTACTACTAAAGTGCACTCATTCTTTGACTTAACAAGGTAAGTCCTGGGTCTACCAGCAATCTAAGCTGGGATAAACAACTAGACCATGTACGCTTGCACTGTTTTGGACCCATTATACCCAGTGCAACATCAACAAGCCTGAAAGTGTACACCGCCGAGCTGCAGGATATGTGTTGGCCGACTACCATCATTGTCTTCCAAATGATTCAGCAGCTGGGATGGGAACCGTTGCAATATCGTAGAAAAGCCGCCAAAGTAGTGTTGATATATAAAATCTTACACTCTCTTGTAGCCATTCCATCTCCACCTTTTTGCACCCTTTCGTTACTGCTAAATAAGGCCGTAAACAACGACTGCCAGAACAGACACCCCAGAAGGATCATTTTAACCATCTTCTATCCGTCTGTGGAATACTTTACCATCTAGTGTCATAAAAATCATTCTTTTGACGGTATCAGGTCTTGGGATAATTGGTAAACATGCATAAGGTGACAGTACTGTTCTATCTTGTATTTAATAATATTGTTTAAACAAGAGGCCCATGGGCCTTATAGGTCACCTGAGTATCATGCAACAACTTTCCAACAATTGAATTTGATTCATGTTTTAAACCAGAGGCCATGAAATTCATAATTTTGAAATAGGCATCATTGCTTATCATAATTATACACTCAGCATGCTTACTTTGGTTACTTAATATTATTATCTCAGAGTAACAAAGAGAAAATGCATTTTCCACTTTATCAGTTGTGCAACCCATCCCACAGGAACAACTGACCCTGGGGCCACATCTTTCAAAATTTTGGAAATTTTTTAAATTTTATTTCATCATATTGTTGATTAATACCAAAGTGCAGATTTCAAAACATTGGATTATTTTCAAATTATGTAAACCCCCCCCCCCCCCACAAGTACCTCTGTCCCTGGGGCCAGGATATTAACCATTTTTGGAAGAAGCAGCTTTCTTCGTCATAAATATATATTTAACAAAACTATGTACTTGGTTAGTTTATTGAATACTTCGTCATAAATATATACTAAGATCATTGGCATAATACCCAGGAACGAAGTAAAAGATTTTGAAAGGATTAATGTATTTTCAATATATAAATATATAAATATTCGAGCCCCACCCTAACACAAGAAGCCCTGACCCAGGGACCCTGAAATTCACAAATCTCAATGAGGCATCCTTCCTCCTCAGTCATAACTATGTACATAGTTCTTGGTTTAATACCCAGGTGCAGGAAAGAAGATTTTTAAAGAATTTATGCATTTTCACTATATAATCAATAGAGCCCCACCCTAACACCAGAACCCCAAACCCAGGGGCGGGGAAATTCACAATTTTGGAAGAGCCAGCCTTATTTAACAAAACTATGTACTTGGTTAGTTTATTGAATACTTCGTCATAAATATATACTAAGATCATTGGCATAATACCCAGGAACGAAGTAAAAGATTTTGAAAGGATTAATGCATTTTCAATATATAAATATTCGAGCCCCACCCTAAAACAAGAAGCCCTGACCCAGGGACCCTGAAATTCACAAATCTCAATGAGGCATCCTTCCTCCTCAGTCATAACTATGTACATAGTTCATTGGTTTAATACCCAGGTGCAGAAAAGAAGATTTTTAAAGAATTTATGCATTTTCACTATATAATCAATAGAGCCCCACCCTAACACCAGAACCCAAAACCCAGGGGCGGGGAAATTCACAATTTTGGAAGAGCCAGCCTTATTTAACAAAACTATGTACTTGGTTAGTTTATTGAATACTCAGGAGCAGAGAAGAAGATTTTTAAAGAAATAATTCATTTTTTACTTCATCTATATAGCCCCGCCTAGCACTAGAACCCCTGACCCTGGGGCCATGAAATTCACAATTTTGAAAGAGGCAGCCTAATTCAATATAGCTATGCACTTGGTTAGTTTATTTAATGACGATGAACAGAGAAGAAAAATTTCAAAGAATTTATGCATTTTCACTATATAATCTATATAAACCCACCCTAGCACTAGAACCCATGACCCTGGGGCCATTAGATTCACAATTTTAGAAAAGACAGCCTTATTCAACATAATTATGCACTTGGTTAGATTATTTAATGCCCATAAACAGAAAAGAAAAATTTCAAAGAATTTATGCATTTTCACTATATAATCTATATAGCCCCGCCCTAGCACCTAAAAACCCCTGACCTCAAGGCCATGAATTTCAAAATTTTGAAAGAGGCAGCCTTATTTGAAATAACTATGTACATATTTAGTTTATTTAATGCTTAGAAGCAGAGAAGAAGATTTTCGAAGGAATAACGCATTTTCACTATATAATCTATTTAGCCCCACCCTAGCACTAGAACCCCTGACCCCAGGGCCATGAATTTCACAATTTTAGTATAGGACTCAATGCTGATTACAATCATGCAAACAGTTTGACTGCTTGAAGTCCAGGAGTAAAGAAGAAGATTTTTAAAGATTGCACTAATTTTAGTGATTTTGGCCCCACCCCTCAGGCCCAGGGGGGCAGGGATTATGAAATTCACAATTTTTGTTCCCCTTTACCCATAGATACTATATGCCAAATTTGGTTGAAATTGGTTCAGTGGTTTCAGAGAAGAAGCTGAAAATGTTCAAATGTTAACACACGACGGACGACGCACACCCGCACGACGACGGACGAAAACAGATAGCAATAGGTCACCTGAGTTAACTCAGGTGACCTAAAAACAAAAAAAAACCCGCTCCACTGCGCCTGTGTCCTATTTAAAATTGTACAGTGTATAGTGCAGCGATTCCTACAACACCTTGCACTGTATAGTTCTATCCACACTTCTTTGCGGGGTCAAGCAAAAGATCAAAAGGGAAAGAAATGACATTTCTCCTCTTTATCCTACTAAACCATTTGGGCGTGCTCCGATAAATCCAATCTGTTTATTTTTTTTTATCTTTCGATATATGGGTATATCGGCAATCATTATTTTACAAATTTTTCCAGTCAGATGACAAAGTTACAAACCAGAAAACTTTAAAGGCTACTGTGAGGATTCTATGGGTTTCCCCCAAAGATGGCGGCTAAGGGACATAACTTTTGAAAAGTGTGGATTCAACTATAGGAAGAAGAACATGTCGAGAAGTATTCATCAAATGTCGTGGACATAAAGTATAAAAAGGTCGGATAAATGACAATCTTTTAATTTTAAATGACAGCTTTTTAACAAAGGTATTACACATAAGGATTAAACAGAATGCAATCATAATATTTTTCTATCCAATTTTGCATTTACTCACGCTTTTCGGTTACTACAATGTCTAAAATGTTTGATCGAAGAAAACATTCTTCTTTCTTATTAGAATTAAAATTCTTTTTCCCTCTTCTTGCATTTAAGTTGAATAAATCGGAGGAGACTGAAAGCGTCAGGAATAACTATTAACGATAAAGCAAGAATCATAAAGGACAAAGCTAAGACTCCGAGTCCTTTTGCTGTTGGGCTGTCCTCATATACGGAGATCTTTGTACGAATTGATCTGGAGAGTTGACTTTTGTTCAATTTTAGTGTATTGATGCTGAAAGGTTTCCAGGTTTTGTTTGGAGAGGAACTTGAGTGACACTTGCAGCACGAATTGCTTGAGTTTTGGATGTTTGTAACAGTATACTCTGTTGTCGAAGAGCTATTAGCGTCTGTCAAATACTTAGTTGAAGTTTGTTGAGGTGGAGTCCAGTCCATCTGTGTTGACATTTCATGATCTAAAATTCATAAGGTATATATAAATAAACATTGCTGATTACTCGTACTTGTTTAATGTATTTAAATATCACTTGGCCATAGGTCAAGCAGTAACCTGGGCATAAAGGATATTTGAATATCATTAGAGACTGGAGTTTTTGATCAGTTTTTCCAACAATTTCATAGGGCACTTTATTCATCATGGAAATGGATAAAATCAACGTACATGTATACAACGATGTATATTTTACATATATTTTTGCTTGTGTTATGTCAAAGGCAAAATCATTAATTATTGTTACATGTACATCCTACCATTTTTTCAAATGATATTAATTTAAAGTTAAATGTTTCAAGTTTCATTTGGTGTATTCCAGAGAAAATAAGCCAGGATAGTCAACTTTCCATTTTTGATTGTATATTATTTTAAGCTGGATCGGCAATTTTTCAGCTTTGTTTTAGCGGACTTTTTTTTTTTAAATAATTGGTTTTGAAAATTTTTGGATTCTCTTGCGGCCACCAGTGAGGCTACTCTTTTACGACCTCCAGAGAAACGATCTTTTACGTGCCAAAGGGGTTGTCATCCTTGACACAGGGCACCATTTAACGTCCCGTCCGACTGACTTAAACCTTTTTAAAAATATGTAAACTGTTAAAATATTGTATAAACTGTTAATAAAACAAGAGATGTTTGTAAAACACTTATGCCCCCATCCCCCAAATAATTGGAATTTTTTAAGTCAAAGGGGTTTAACTCTGTCAAAAATGGTCCGTGCAAACCCAAGGCAAAACTTGACCTATATATTCTTATAATAAATGTATACCAAATTTCATTTCGATATGTGCAAACTCTGCGATGAAAATGAACGGAAACTGCAAATTTTTGGAATTGTTCTAAGTCAAAAGCGCATACCTCTGTCCAAAAGCGTCTGATCGTACCCAAGACAAAAATTGACATAGGTATTCTTATGATATATCTGTATACCAAATTTCATTTCAATATGTGCAACCTCAGCGAAGAAAATGAACGGAAACTGATTGTGGACCGACAGACAGCAGCAAAGCAATATGCCCTTCCTTCTTCGAAGAGGTGCATAATAAATTGATATATGTACATGTATTACTCATTAAAATTGTTTTCATAATTTTATTCAAAGAGCAATATATGATAATTGTCTTAAATGGCCTCTGAAAATGAATATCTTGATTTTACTTTATATATAGCTTCAATTTGTACAGCTATACATGCGACCTTTATTGGTCATTTTCAATTTGATCAAAATACCGTTATTTTAGAAATATGATATCATAAAGTTTACATTTTCCCGCCATTTTAGCATATTTTGTATAAACTGCTTATTTTCAAGCAGTTTTTCTTCCAGGAAATTTAGAGCGCAGCCTAGAACAAACTTTATATTTTTACCAAAGATGTATCTATCCAATACTAATAACTGACAGAAATTTTTTGCATGTTCTACACTGCGCTCTATGCTTCCCAAAAGAAAAAAATATCAAGAAAAAGCATATTTTTGGCTTTTTTTGTTAGATAGCAAAAATACCATTACTTCTCATGTCATTTATAGCCAATGGCTCTCATCATTATAAAGTCCAAACTATAATAATCCGTTTCTTGTAGATATTCTAAAATTTTATGAACATTTAAATAATACATACACATTTTAAGAATTTTATCCAAAGGACAAACTTCCAACGAAAGGCGGCAATTCGGAATCCAAGACTGGAGAACATTGAAGACAAAAACACTTGTGTTGCAACAAGGAAGTAGAAAGAAGGATATGGAGATAACGAACAGTATCAAATATCAAAGTCCGTAAAACAATACAAAATAGGAGCAGAGCAAACATGGACCTCCGAAACATCAGAGGTGGGATCAGGTGCCATGGAGGAGTGAGAATCCCCTGCTGACCGGTCACACCCGCCACGTGCTCCTTGTCATGATCGGCAAATAACGGGAAAATCCGTCGTCAATTCCGTGTATAAATAATAGACTAACAATTAGTATATGAAAAACGTCCGTCAGCATTTGACTCAATGATAAATTGTCATTGTTATTGTATTGACCATAAAACTTACGAAATGATGACTTTAAATGAGACTGCTGATATTCTTGTTTCATCAACTTGCTTGCCAATAATTTATCTCGTTTTAGAAATTGTTCATACGTAGAGCATGCTCTTGCGTATCGAATCAACTGAGATACAATGTATGTAAACTCCGTATGCAGGAGTATGCTAGGAACACACAGGTAGTAAAATTTTGAGGTGGCAGCATATTTAATAAACGGAAAAAATAGATTGAGAAAGCAGCGCATTTTTTTTACACTCTTCTCTATGGATGGCACTCTAGCTCTCTGGTCGTCCAGGGCAATTTAAATTTTCAGACCAGCGAGCTACTGATCCTTAGTTTTAAACTCCGTTTCATTTTTTTTTAAAGTTTATCCTAAAATATTGCGTAAAAATACATTTTTGGTAAACACTTAATTTAACAGTTACTCAACAATAATAATTTTAAAATTTCACGATTTTGCAGTAGTTGTGTTGTTCAAGAAACATTACCCTCAGGGTATCTTTTCCTTGCGCTCGACCCCAAAGAAATTGACATTAAAAAAACTTAATTGTTGAATAATTTTTGACGCAAAATTTTCTGCAGAAATATTATGATTGTTAATATTTTATAATATAATATTTTTAATATTATAAATTAGTATCCTTATGATTGTGTGCTGTGCTGTTTAACCTTTGTAAGTATGGAAGAAGCCTAATATTAATTAAACCTCCTTGTTTTCTTACTACATGTATTACTTACCGCACTCAAACTCCACTGTTAAGTGTTTGAAAATTCCTGGACAGGGGTCTGAAAAGTGTGTGTTCTTAACAAGTATTGTACATTTGCTGACATACTTGTATGTCGAGTCGGTCTTACAAAGTGATTGAACTTTAGATGTAACATTTTCATAACAGGGCGTTGTTGTTTCTTTAACAGTTGCATGGCTACAGATGGTATTATTAGTTCGACCATACAGAGATGATATAATAGTCAGATTGTTCATGTCACCACACTGTAGATTCATTTCCTTTCCTTCGCATTCGTAAGTTGTCTCTAAAAAGTAAGAAAAACCTTTCATCATTTCATTACGAGACAAATCTCCCCCCTTTTTTTTTTATAGAAATTTTACCCGTAGATGAAAGTTTTGAACCTTTTTTCAACCGATATTTTTGTTTTTAGGATATTAAAAGCTGACATGATTTTGAAAAATGGGTTAGATTACCACTTGTACTCCTTAGAAAGGGAACTATGGGTTTGATTACCACTCGTAGAATTAAATCCAAGTTCTTCTAAAATACAATTTATATAAGAGCCTTACAAACAAAGACAATGTTGTTACTTTTTAGCTCACCTCGACGAAGTCGAGATGAGCTTATGCTATACCCCGGCGTTGGCGTCGGTTTCGGCGTTAGCGTCGGCGTCCCAGGTTAAAGTTTTAATGGCAAGTCCATTCCTCAGTAACTATAGGCCCTACCTGAACCAAACTTGCATGGATGATGCATCTATGGATGGACACTACCAGACTTGCTTCAGATGCTGGATCTGACTTACATTTTCCAGATGATTGACCAGGTTAAAGTTTTTGGAGCAGGTCCATTCCCAAGATGAGTGACCAGGTTAAAGTTTTTGGAGCAGGTCCATTCCCAAGTAACTATAAGCCCTACCCTGACCAAACTTGCATGGATGATGCATCTATGGATGGACACTACCAGACTTGCTTCGGATGCTGGATCTGACCTACATTTTCCAGATGAGTGACCAGGTTAAAGTTTTTGGAGTAGGTCCATTCCCAAGGAAATCTAAGCCCTACCCAGACCAAACTTGTAGAGATGATGCATCTAGGGATGGACACTACCAGACTTGCTTAGGATGCTGGATCTGACCTACATTTTCATTCCCAAGGAACTATAAGACCTACCCAAACCAAACTTGCATGGATGATGCATCTAGGGAATCTAGGGATGGGCACTACCAGACTTGCTTCGGATGCTGGATCTGACCTATATTTTCATTCCCAAGTAACTACAAGACCTACCTGAACCAAATTTGCAGGGATGATGCATCTAGGGATGAACACTACAAGACTTGCTTCGCATGCTGGGTCTGACCTACATTTTCATTCCCAAGTAACTACAAGACCTACCTGAACCAAACTTGCATAGATGATGCATCTAGGGATGGACACTACCAGACTTGCTTCGGATGCTGGATCTGACCTACATTTTCATTCCCAAGTATCTATAAGCCCTACCTGAACCAAACTTGCATAGATGATGCATCTAGGGATGGACACTACCAGGCTTGCTTCAGATGCTGGATCTGACCTATATTTTCATTCCCAAGTAACTATAAGCCCTACCTGAGCCAAACTTGCATGGATGATGCATCTAGTGATAGACACTACCAGACTTGCTTCGGATGCTGAATCTGACCTATATTTTCCCAAGGAATTATAATACCTACCCGAACCAAACATGCATGGATGATGCATCTAGGGATGGACACTACCAGACTTGCTTCGGATGCTGGATCTGACCTACATGTATATTTTCCATACAAGAGACCAGGGTAAAGTTTTGGGAACAGATTAATCCCAATGAACTTGAACCTTGATATCTGCAGTATTAACAAATTGATGAATATTTGTTCACACTATACGAGGGTTGTCCCGTAAAATCGTGGACAAAGCGTTTTTCTCTAAAAGTAATAGGCGCACTAAGCTGAAATTTTCAGTAAATGTTTATTCATCATATTTAAGTGCAACATTATGTTTTTGATGATATATAGACAAAAATAAAGATTTTATTATGCTTTAATGTGCACAGAGTACGGTCCTACGGCGCATGGTAAAAATAACAAGGTTATATTAGAGAATACATAAGAATTATTTCGAAATAAAAAATTTCAATACTAACATAAAATTGGGAGGAAAAATATCATAATTTGATTCCTTGATCAATTTTGTCGTCTTTGTAAAAATTTCAAGGTATTTGGTTAATTTTTGGCAGTTTCACGAGCATTCGAAATAGGAAAGTGGTAAACACAATACACAAAAAATCGCGATTTTTGATGACGTTAGCGCACCGGAGAGCAGTTCTGTTAGATTTGGATGTTGTAATGACACCTAAAGAGACTTTAAATGAATACAGAAGAAAGAAAATATGACAAAAATCACCAGATCTTTAGTATATACATGAAATGAAAGTTTTATTGACGAATCCTTTTTGATTGAGTCCTCAGGTAGCACAAAATGTATGGAAAAACTGCTATTGTAATAGCAAAAGACGCTGTCATTGTCGACCGTTGATATGAGATTCTCTGTTATTTGAGTGCTGGTGAGAATACTGTCCAAAACTTGCTAATGAATTTTCCAAAGACTGCATATGTGTGCCAGATGGGTTCCTTATCTGGTTATAGACACTCACGTATGTGAATCAATGGAATTTTTAAATTTAAGTGGGACTTATCCAACTTTATTTTAGCAAAGATGAAACGTGACGCTGTTTTAGACACTTTGACGTTATCATCCGTGCGCCGTAGGATGATACAATACATAACATAACATCTAATAATTTGTTTATTTATGCACATATCTATTTGAAATTTGCTCTGTATATTCAAAATATATGTACTAAAAAGTACTGAAAATTTCAGAACGCAGTGATGATTATTTTTCAAACTGGACAAATTGTCCACCATTTTACGGGACAACCCTCGTACATGTTTTTCACGCTACATGAGTAGAAATGTGTATATGCCCTGTAAGAGGTTAAACACAACTTGCAAGAATATTGTTGTTGGGATAAATACTAGATTTTAAGAAAATATGATGCGAGATTTGCATTACTTACACTGATAACATTCGTCGAGGTGAGCTTCGTAATCTTTGATTACCTATGTTTGTCAGCAGGGATCAGTACGTACTGATCATGTAATCTATCTAATATTCTTTTTTGAACTCCTTGATTATTGAATACAGAAGCATACTAGTACATGGTTTTTATATATAAGAATTTTCCTATTAGTGCTCTACCGGTGAAGCCGGACGGGACTATAGGATTCCTCTGAGACTGAGACTGTCGTCCGTCTGTCTAGCTGTTCGCCCATCTGTACCGCTGGTTTTTCGCACTTTTTCTGAACGCTTGCACATATTGAGCTGATTTTTTTGTATGTTTGAGTATCTTGACAAGTTATAGATCAAGTTTGCCAATAAATGTCACTGTTTACCGGCAAATGATGGCACATTAATAGTGAAAAACTATTTAAGGGGGTTAAACAAACAAAACCAATGTTAACTGATTTTAACGAGAAAAAAATGAAGTACCTTAGAAAAAGAATAACGTTTCATTTGATGGATAGAAAACTTTGTATCTCATCTACGTTGCTATAGCGCAAGTAAGCTTTTCTGATCACCCGAATTCCGTCCGTCTGAAAGTCTGTATGTCCGTAAACATTTCACAAGACGAATTTCAACCAAATTAAAATTGATGTAAACATTCTTAGCTGAATGGAATTTTAAACTCTACCAATGAAGGACAAAGTCCCGTTCGAAGGAAACCAAAACAAGAATGAAGTCAATAACCTCTTTTTTCTTAAGAATGAATAGGCCAGAAAAAAAACAATCTTAATATGTGAAAGCTTTCACATTCTTGGAGGTTGTAAATTCTAATTTGTTCAAGTCGTGCATATGTTGCACGAGCGGCCGGAAGGGAGTGGTCCTAATGGGAGCGGAGGTTATCATAAAATATTTTTGAAAAGAAGATGCGGGAACAAGGCAGGCAGAATGCCTATAGCGTCAGATTTTAATAAATCATATTCAATATGTGAATTGAATATTTAAATTTACTTCTCATTAAGCAAATTTATGAAATTATGAGAAAAATTGCTTTTTTGAAAAAAAAACAACTCGTAAATAAATGTTTCTTTTATAAAAATATTAGATGGTTTTCGTGGGATTCATACCCTAAGCAATAAAAATCTGAAGAATTATAATGCTTTGAGACTAACGCGCAAACCACTATGCTACATGGATTATGATTATTGTTGGTATTTAAATCAAGTTTGTGATATGACCCTTGACTTAATGGACTTGAAGTATTTCTCGGAAATATGTGAATGTTTTGCCATAAAAATGTACTTTTAAGGTATAGTGGTTCATCGCTGCATGCTTTTGTAAACCAAAAATGTATATTTCAGTGCAAAATTTTAGGATTATCTTTCAAAAAATTAGCGAAGACTCACTCATATTAAAACAATTGTTAAAGTATGAGAAAATGATCGTTTTTGTTCTTTTTTCTGTGTGTATGCTTTTCCTTAGGCATATATTTTCAGTTTTTGTGGGATTTTTGTAAATTGTAGAGATATCTAATAACATTAGGTACTAGAGTATACTTTAGTATTAGATGAAATATCAAATAAAATTTGGCTATAAATGAGATTTAATTTTTCATTTCTTAACTGTCGATCTATAGGCACTTCGCCCACCTTATCCCCTCCAAAGGATTAGATCTTCTTACTTCTAAAAAATTCCTTTCCTAAAATCTTTGCACTAAAAATTATGGAACTTCTTAGTAGTTTAATATGTTGAAATCTTCCTAAGGTGTGAAATAATGTGAATAACGAACAGTATTCAATGTCAATGAAAGTCCATAAAACAATACAAAACAAGAGCAGAGCCAACACGGACCTCCGAAACATCAGAGGTGGGATCAGGTGCCATGGAGGAGTGAGCATCCCCTGCTGACCGGTCACACCCGCCGTGTGCTCCTTGTAATGATCGGCAAATAACGGAAAAATCTGTCGTCAATTCAGTGCATAAATAATTGACTAACAATTAGTATGAAAAACGTCAGTCAGCATTTGACTCCATGGTAAATCGTATTTGCTGAAAGGTCATTGAGATATATAAACTCCGTATGAAGGTGATGGAGATATACTGCTACATAAGGAAGGGAAATTAACGATAGAAAAGTTAAAGTCCCCACGTTTATCATATAGCTGGTTGTTAGATTACCATTAACGTCTTTTTGAAGTTGAAGTAAAATATCCAAGTATGAAACAGATGTGTCAGACTCTGTGGTATCTTTTATCTCAAGGTCACCAGGATATATCGTATCGACGTAGTTTATAAATTGTCCAAACTTATGGTCAACGGGGGAAGGATGTGGAAATTGAAGTTTTACATGAAAATTAACATGACAAGTTTTTTTTTTAAATCGCTTCAATAACCATAAAACTTGGAAAAAACTGAAACACCTGAAAGTTTCATGGAATACTTGCCAAAAAATCTAATTTATTACCTTGCATAAAATAATTAGGACGAAAGTTACAACGCTTTTTGAATGACAATTAAAACTGTAAATATACTGACCTCCTGAACAAAAAGCTAAAAACGTAATGAAAATTAAAATCCCTGTATCCAATTCATACATATCACTTGTATGATCATGAATGATAATCTTCAGTGTAGCTGAATCTGATTCATTTCATCTCGCAAGTCGCATGTCCGTGAAGCAATAGATAGCTTTAAATTTTAAGCTATTTCGATAGACTCTTCTCGGTATGAACAAAACGATTTTGTAAATAATTTCAATGAATTCTTTTTAAAATCAATACCTTCATTTTGAAATAAGTACATATTGTGAGTCTGTCGATTGTCTCAATGTTCATTTTATCTTTTTAAATCTGAAAGTATCCCAACGCTGCACTAGAAGATTGATTAAGCAGCGGACACATTGTTTATTAAATTACACTTGTAGAAAAATGGCATGTTACGTAAACTATATATATTTTTAGGTCACCTGAGTAATCTCAGGTGACCTATTGCTATTCGTTTTGGTCCGTCGTCGTCCGTCGTACGTTAACATTTGAACATTTTCAGCTTCTTCTATGAAACCACTGAACCAATTTCAACCAAATTTGGCATAGAGCATCTATGGGTAAAGGGGAACAAAAATTATGAATTTCATGGTCCCTGTCCCCCTGGGGCCTGGCGGATGGGGCAAAAACCACTAAAATTAGTGCAATCTTTAAAAATTTTCTTTACTCCTGGACATCAAGCAGTCAAACTGTTGGTATGATTGTAATCAGCATTGAGTCCTCTACCAAAATTGTGAAATTCATGGCCCCAGGGTCAGATGTTCTGGTACTAGGGCGGGGCTAAATAGGTTATATCGTGAAAATATATTATTTCTTTGAAATTCTTCTTTTCTGCTCCTGGGCATTAAATAAACTGACCAAGTGCATAGTTGAGTTGAAAATCACTGCCTCTTCTAAAATTGTGAATTTTATGTCCCCAGGGCCAGGTGTTCTAGTGCTAGAGCGGGGCCATATAGTGAAATGCATTATTTCTTTGATATTCTTCTTTTCTGCTCCTAGGCTTAAATAAACTAACCAAGTGCATAATTATGTTGAATAAGGCTGCCTCTTCTAAAATTGTGAATCTAATGGCCCTAGGGTCAGGGGTTCTAGTGGCAGGGCGGGGCTATATAGATTATATAGTGAAAATGAATTATTTCTTTGAAAATCTTCTTCTTTGCTCCTGAGTATTATTAAAACTAACCAAGTACATAGATATGTTGAATAAGGCTGCCTCTTCCAAATATTGTGAATTTCATGACCCCTGGGTTGGGTGTTCTTGTGTTAGGGTGGGGCTCTATTGATTATATTAGTGAAAATGCATAAACTCTTTAAAAATCTTCTTTTCTGCACCTGGGTATTAAAACAATGAACTATGTAAATAGTTATGAGGAGGAAGGATGCCTCTTTGGGATTTGTGAATTTCAGGGCCCCTTGGTCAGGGCTTCTTGTGTTAGAGTGGGGCTCTAATGTTTATGTAGTGAAAATGCACGAATTCTTTGAAAATCTTTTCCTTTGATCCTGGGTATTTTGGCAATGATCTTAGTATATATTTATGACGAAGAACGCTGCTTCTTCCAAAAATGCTTAAATTTCTGGCCCCTACGACAGAGGTACTTGGGGGGGGGGGTCTGAAAATGATTTAATGCTTTGAAATCTGCACTTTGGTATTAATCAACATGATGAAATAACATTTATAAAATTTCCAAAATTTTGAAAGATGTGGCCCCAGGGTCAGTGGTTCCTGTGACAACTGATAATGATAAGTGGAAATAGATTTTCTCTTTGTTACTGTGATCTACATGTACCTCTGGGTATTACTAACCAAAGTAAGCACGCTGAGTGCATAATTATGATAAGCAATGGTGCCTCTTTCAAAATTGTGAATTTCATGGCCTCTGGATTAAAACATGAATCAAATTCAATTGTTGGAAAGTTGTTGCATGATACTCAGTTGACCTATAAGGTCCATGGGCCTCTTGTTCTCAAGAATAAATAGGCCAGAAAAAAAGAATCTTAATATGTGAAAGCTTTCACATTCTTGGAGGTTGTAAATTCTAATTTGTTTAAATCGTGCATGTGTTGCACGAGCAGCCAGAAGGGAGTGGTCCTAATGGGAGCGAAGGTTATAAAATATTTTTGAAAAGAAGATGAGGGGGACAAGGCGGAAAGAATGCCTATAGCGTCAGATATTAGTAAATCATATTCAATATGTGAATTGAATATTTAAATTGACTTCTCATTAAGCAAATTTATGAAATTATGAGAAAAATTACTTTTCTGAGAGAAAAAAAACTCGTAAATAAATGTTTCTTTTATAAAAATATTAGATGGTTTTCTTTGGATTCGAACCATAAGCAATAAAAATCCGAAAAATTATTTTACTGCAAAATTTTAGGATTATCTTTCAAAAAATGGAGAGAAGACCCACTCATATTAAAAAAAATTGTTAAAGTATGAGAAAATGATCGTTTTTATTCTTTTTTCTGTGTGTATGCTTTTCCATAGGCAGATATTTTCAGTTTTTGTGTGATTTTTGTAAACTGTAGAGATATAACATTAAGTATACTTTAGTATTAGATGAAATATCACATAAAATTTGGCTATGAATAAGATTTAAAATTTCATTTCTTATCTGCCGATCCATAGGCACTTCGACCACCTTATCCCCCAATCTTCTTACTTCTAAAAAATTCCTTTCCTAAAATCTTTGCACTAAAAATTATGGAACTTCTTAGTAATTTAAATATGTTGAAATCTTCCTAAGGTGTGAAATAATGTAGAAGGAAATGGAGATAACGAACAGTATTCAATATCAAAGTCCATAAAACAATACAAAATAGGAGCAGAGCAAACACGGACTTCCGAAACATTAGACGTGGGATCAGGTGCCACGGAGGAGTGAGCATCCCCTGCTGACCGGTCACACCCGCCGTGTGCTCCTTGTCATGATCGGCAAATAACGGAAAAATCCGTCGTCAATTCAGAGCATAAATATGAAAAACGTCAGTCAGCATTTGACTCAATGGTAAATTGTATTTGCTGACAAGGTCATCGAGATATATAAACTCCGTATGCAGGGGATGGAGGTATATTGCTACATAAGGAAGGGAAGTTGACGATAGAAAAGTTAAAGACATCACGTTTATCATATAGCTGGTTGTTAGATTACCATTAACGTGTTTTTGAAGTAAAATATCCAAGTATGAAACAGATGTGTCAGACTCTGTGGTATCTTTTATCTCAAGGTCACCAGGATATATCGTATCGACGTAGTTTACAAATTGTCCAAACTTATGGGATGTGGAAATTGAAGTTTTACATGAAAATTAATATGAAAAGTTTTTTTTTAATCGCCTCAATAACCATAAAACTTGGGAAAAAATGAAACACCTGAAAGTTTCATGGAATACTTGCCACAAATCTAATTAATTACCTTGCATAAAATAATTAGGACGAAAGTTAGAACGCTTTTTGAATGACAATTAAAACTTTAAATATACTGACCTCCTGAACAAAAAGCTAAAAACGCAATGAAAATTAAAATCCCTGTATCCAATTCATACATATCACTTGTATGATCATGAAGTGATAATCTTCAGTGTAGCTGAATCTGATTCATTTCATCTCGCAAGTCGCATGTCCGTGAAGCAATAGATAGCTTTAAATTTTAAGCTATTTCCATAGACTCTTCTCGGTATGAACAAAACGATTTTGTAAATAATTTATATGAATTCTTTTTGAAATCAATACCTTCATTTTGAAATAGGTACATATTGTGAGTCTGTCGATTGTCTCAATAATCATTTTATCTTTTTAAATCTGAAAGTATCCCAACGCTGCACTAGAAGATTGATTAAGCAGCGGACACATTGTTTATTAAATTACACTTGTAGAAAAATGTAATGGAAATAATGGCATGTACGTAAACTATGTATATTTTTAGGTCACCAGAGTAAACTCAAGTGACCTATTGCTATCCGTTTTGGTCCGTCGTCGTCCGTCGTGCGTTAACATTTGAACATTTTCAGCTTCTCAACCATAGCTCATTTTCTTCTATGAAACCAATGAACCAATTTCAACCAAATTTGGCATAGAGCATATATGGGTAAAGGGGAACAAAAATTATGAATTTCAATGTCCCTGTCCTGGGGCCTGGGGGATGGGGCAAAAACCACTAAAATTAGTGCAATCTTTAAAAATTTTCTTCTTTTCTGCTCCTGGGCATTAAATAAACTAACCAAGTGTATAATTGAGTTGAAAATGACTGCCTCTTCCAAAATTGTGAATTTCATGGCCCCAGGACAAGGGGTTTTAGTGCTAGGGTGGGGCTATATAGATTATATAGTGAAATGCAAAAATTCTTTGAACGTCTTCATTTCTGTTTGTGGGCATTAAATAAACTAACCAAGTGCATTGTTATGTTTATTAAGACTGCCTCTTCTAAAACTGTGTATCTAATGGCCCTTGGGTCGGGGGTTCTAGTGGCAGGGCGGGGCTATAGATTATATAGTGAAAGTGCATAGCTATGTTGAATAAGACCGCCTCTTCCAAAATTGTGAATTTCATGGCCCTAGGGTCAGAGGCTCTAGTGCTAGGATGGGGCCATATAGATTATATAGTAAAAATGATTTATTTCTTTGAAAATCTTCTCTGCTCCTGAGTATTAAATAAACTAACCAAGTACGTTCTTATGTAGAATAAGGCTGCCTCTTCCAAAATTGTGAATTGCATGACCCCAGGGTTAAGGGTTCTGGTGTTAGGGTGGGGCTTCATTGATTATATCGTGAAAATGCATAAATTCATTAAAAATCTTTTTTTCTACCCCTTGGTATTTAACCAATTAACTATGTACATAGTTATGAGAAGGAAGGTTGCCTCTTTGAGATTTGTGAATTTCAGTGACCCTGGGTCAGGGCTTCTCTACATAGTCTGAAAATTATGTACAGCTCAACAAACTTTTTAAACTCACATGGTTTTTCGCACAAATTAAAGTCACATTTTTCTTGCAATAAAACTTAAAATTATCGAGTTTCAGTACGAGGTATAAGCCTTATATTATGAAAATAATTCATGTTAAAGGTGCATA